ACCTGGTTTTATGATTCGGAGTTTTACCTTATCCTTGCAAAAATCTGGTTTTTAGTGTGTTTTGTTCTGGCTTTAGAAGAGGAGCTCCACCAGTGGGTGGGATACACCTTAAACTGTGCTGTCCCGTGGGTTCCTGAGTTGTGGTTAGGCACTCTTGTCCCCATGTCTCTTTCACCGCTGGAAGTGGGGGAAGGTCGCAGGACGGTAAGTATGGGTTCCGGCCATTCCCTCCACTCCTCTTAAAGGGCCAGGGTTCCCAGGTCATAGATGAAGGATGTAAGCTACAGTGCGATCCAGTGGCTGGGATGTGGCAGGATATGGGGATATAGGACCTTAGTGTCTAGATTCTGAGCCTGAATTCTGGCATTTCTCAGAGATACAGTCAGCATGAGTAGCTGAAATAGGATTTTGTGAAAAACTTTATTCCCTCTAAACGTCCTCCTTTATTCTTATTCCTCTTTAATGCATCCTCTCATCATTGCCAGCATTTAGAGTCTGCTTTATCAGTGACCTTTGCATATAAATTGTCACTGGGTTTCACTGATTTGAGGCAGTCTATTATCTGGCTGCAGTTTTTTCAAATATTATTTCTCTATCTAAATATTATTTTATATCAATAAAAGCATATTTCTACCTTGGTTATTTTTGTTAATCCTGTTGTTTTCCATCTTAGAAAACTGCTTCTTATTACTTTATTCATGTTCTGTCTTTACCCAACTATCCTTTTACTGTATGGTAGCAGAGAAGAGGGGAAAAACATAATTTCATTGCATTATTGGTATGCTGATACATTAAACTCAGCAAGAGTCTAATTTTCATTTTTATAAAAATGCAGAATTGATGAAAATTGCTTCTGTCTCTAATTTGGAGGTTGAAGTGGTCAAGATTGCTAGGTACACTTTCTTTTTAATGTGACACCTAATATATTTCACAATTAATGGAAAGAATATTAGAATCAAAGTCTAGTGATCTTTATTCTTTTATTGGTTCTGTTGCTTAAATTTACTTAACCTAAGCATTCTTTTTCTCATTGTTAGTACAATGATAATAGTAGTAGGGGTATGATTATTATGATAATTATTCAAGAAATTGCAACAGAAAGTGTTCAGTGCATTGCCGAGTAGGTGCTCAGTAAGTGCTAGTTAAAATGAAAGCTGACTAGTTTCTTTGACTTTTTTCTTTAGGTAGACTAAAAAATGTTTCAAAAAGTGAAACAATACTGGAATTAAGAAATAACTAATGAAAAAATTAGAATATGCCTTTCTCTAAGTGATAAAGATAAGAAAATAAAATATATACATTTTCTAAAAAGTAGAGGATGGCCGTTTGGTCAGGCAAAGGAAACAAAGACCACTAATAAGAATTTTATTAGCATTCCCCTGAAACTTTTAACCAATATATCAAGTCATGGACTAGGTGTAAATACTCAATAAGGGTAAATGTGTTGTTATTTACTGGTACCTGGGTAACCTATGACAGTGACTAGAATAACTAACAGGACTGATAACACGTATCTTCATTCTAGATTTCTCTTCTCCAATCTATACGTCAGTTGCCTCTCCTACATGACCATGTGGATGTATAAGAGCTTCTCAAACTGAAGATGTTTAAAATTGGACTAGTTCAAACCTATTGCTCATTTGTTTTGAATTAAACGTCATCGTCATCTGCCTGGTTACTTAGCAACCCAAGTGCCCCCTTCTTTCTCTTTTATTTTTCAGATTTATATATACCTACACACAAACAGCTACACATACATACATATATACATACATACATACATACATCTAACAGACATTTTTTGAACAACTGTGCTGTGTTCCGGGCCTTATTCTTGGTGGTAAGAATATAATAGTGAACAACAGTTTCTACTTCTAAGTGGCTTGTTTTCTAATAGGAGAAGAGAGTCAATATCAAATGTACAATATGTGAGAAGTGCTTTGGAAGAGGGAAAAAGGGTGCAAATGATGGTGATAAGGGAATTTAGGGGTTAGGAGGCATTTTGGGAGTTGCTGTTCTGGACAACCCAGTAAGGGAGGCTTTTCCATGAAGGTTTAACAGGTTTCTTCTGCTGCATTGTAGTAGTAAAGAGACTGCAGCTGGTCAAGCCTGGAAGTGGGAGAGGAGTTCGAAAGCAGTTGTGGTTCAGGTGAGAAAGGACTGTAGCCAAATGCAGGGGATAAGTAGTAGCCTGGGAGATGGTGAGGAGTGCATATTTTAGTATTTTGTAGTTAGAATTGGCCGGGTTCACTGATGGGATTGAGTGTTGTTTTGAGGGAAAGCAGGATGACTTCAGGTTTTTTGACTTGAGAAATTGCAACAACAGCATTTTCTGAGATGAGGAAAACTCTTGGAAAAGTAGGTGTGGAGAGGGTGTGTGTGTGTGTGTGGTTTTGGACTGTCAAACTGAAGGTGCCTACAAGACATCAAGGTAGAGATGTTGAGAGTAGGTAGTTGGATCTTCAGGCCTGGATTCTTCCTGTGGTCCTCATCCCTTCTCTCCATCCCAGTTGCTGCTTTGGGTGACAGTGCCATTGACTGTCACTTGGATTATCGTCACTCCCTTCTGTCATGCCCTCCACCATTGCTTTTTCCTCTCTTTTGATTTACCGTCAAAAGCCTGAGTCTTTCCTAAAATGCAGTTATTTTGCTGTCTCTCACATACTTAAACCATAAGGGGCTCCTCAGTGCTTGGAGGATAAATTCTAGAATTCTTAATTTGGTTTACAAGGCCTTACATGATCTGGGGACTGATTAGTTGATTTCCATTTAGTTTTCTCTGTTCATTATTCTCACTTCTTCCTGTGTTCTTCATTTTTCTTGCATCTTTTCGACCTTTAAACACTATCCTTCCATTGTTTGGGCCTTTCTCTCTCCAACCCCAATCCTTTTTAACTGCCTATCTCCTTTTCTCTTGAAAGCTTTAGATTAGATATTGTTTATTCCATGAAGACTGTCCCTGACAAGTATGGATCAAGGGGCTATTCTTTATTCTCCTGTGGTTCTTACCAAAACATTGAGGATGCATCTGTGTATTGTGATTGCCATTTACATCATCTTCACCTCTGTTGGTTCTTAAATTCTGTGTGGTGAGGTGTCTCTATTTTGTCTAGTGTTATTTCTGTATTTCCTAGCACAGACCCTTTTAGTTGGTGCTTAAAAAAATATTTATTATTTGAATGAAATAATAAGTAAAACAGCTGATTATAAAACATGTATATAAAATTCAGCAATGTCTCTATATTCTAGTAGTAACTAATTACAGTGTATAGTGGGGATAACTAGAATTAACCAGTATCCACTCTCAAATACTTAAAAGTATAATTTAGATGTATTTAGGACACCTAACATTAACAATAAATATATATGTTGCCTGTGTTAAGTTGAATAATTATACACACATGTCATGTTTATGATTGGAAAGTTTGAAAATTGTCGACGTATCAAATTTCCCAAATCTATTTACAAATGCCTTGGAATTAAAATACAATTCAGCCCTGGCCAGTTTGGCTCAGTGGTTAGAGTGTCGGCCTGCGGTCTGGAGAGACCCGGGTTCGGTTCCCGCTAAGGGCACGTGCTTCGGTTGCAGTTTGTCCCCGGCCCTGGTTGGTCGTGCCGGTGGCAGCCACTCGATGTGTCCCTTCACGTTGATGTTTTTCTCTCTCTCTCTTCCTTCCTCTCTCTCCCTCCCACTCTATCTGTACAAAAAATGGAAAAATATCCTCGTGAGGGTAAAAAAATAAAAATAAAAAAAAAAAAAATACAATTCAAATGGGTTTTATTTTTGGAACTTTTGAATTACTTTTAAGTTTGCATGGAAAAAGAAATGAATGAGAAAGGTGAAAATTTAGAAAAGAAACATTTGAACAGCCAATTAATAAGGTATTAATTAATTACCAGTGCTTAAGACAGAGTGGTAGTAGCACAGGTTTCATACATAGAAAAATGCAACAGAAGTAGAAGCTCAGAGAAACAGGTATAGGATGAAAGTGTAATGCAAATCAATTGAGAATGATTGGTGATGATTCATAAAATGATGCAGAGATAATTAGCTAATAAATATTTTGAAAACTATGACATTTGATCTGTGTCACATTATGTACTGAAACACGTAATTATATGCTTTACTGATATAAAAATCACATATTTATAATGTGCCATCCTACATATATGAAGGTGGTTTTCGAAGTTATTTTTCTCCCACATTAGTGATTTATTTGTACATATCTAATTAAAGACTTGACTCCATTGTTCTTTGTCATCAAGATCTTAATTTTGTAAGATGACTAATTTTATAATGTCTGTCCATTGACACAAGAGAAAAGGTGATGGGATCACTTTATTGGTGAAGGCTGTTAAACTTTGATTCTCAAAGAATGTGCTATAACTACAGGTCATGTATTGTTTAGTATGATGTATTCTATTGTTGTTGTTACCAAAGACAGAGAGGTTAAATGCTTTTTTTTTTTTTTTTTTTGTCTTTAAAACACTCAAAATAGGCTCAGTGTCAAAATTTGATTATTTTTCAAAGATTTGTAAAACAGATTGCAAAGTCTACTATTCCAGTTTTGTTTGAGCTATATTTTTAAATAAGCATTGTGTGTCAAACATAAAACAGTTGTGTGCTTGTTTATTGTTAGCACTCTTATCGCTAACTTGACCCATCCTAAGTGCAAGTGTATAGATAGATGTTATAGATGTTACAGATATATGTTATATGTTCAAATGAACTAACTACATTAATTCTTTTACTCAGTGGTTTTGGGTTCCATAGTGTACATTAGATTTGTTTTTGTTTTTCCTGGTAGACCTTTAAATATATCACATAGTCTGAAATAGTTTAGGTCTTGGGATATTTACTAATTAATTATTTTATTACTGTGATTTCAAGTCTTTGTATCTATCTTTTTTAGATTCTTTGATGATAGAAGTTTCACATCCTGCCATTTAGCAGTGAATGTCTTACTGCCCCTAACATGGATCTTTCCTTGGTTTTTCAGAGAGAAGAGAAGAGGAAGATTTTGAAGAGAAGAAAGCTCTTAAAAAAAAGATTAAAGAACTTAAATTTCTAGATTCGAAAGTTGCCCAGAATCTTTGTGAGTATAAGATTTTAATACTATTAAAATAGCAATACACACTGGAGGTGGTTGATTTAAATTATTACATTTTCTTTATGACTTATATTTATTTTTTAAACAAATTTGCATAATATATTCAAAGGTAACTTTAAGCAACTTATGGTTTAAATTCTTCAAAAGATTAACGCATGTTATAAAATAAAACTAAGAAAATGGTTTAGGATGAAAATATATTTCCCATAATTGAAAAGAAAACTACTCTTTAAATTCTGTTTTTTAAGTATTTATATATATAGAATTAAGGAAGTAACTGATGACATATTTTGAAATACATTTCGTAGTGGATTATTTCTTTTAAATCTCTGAATCTCAATTGTTTGTAACACTTGATCACACACAAAGGAGGTTGGAATGTTAATGGAATTAAGGAATGATGAGTAAAATGAATTTCATTATTCCATCTGAACAGTTCAAAGCCTTTCCTCAGAAGTACTGACTGGAAATATTTTAGATTTCATTACTGTTATAGGGAGCTAGATACTTAGTATTGAATTGTCTTCCTGACTGAATAACTGCGGGAGAAAATGGCAAATAGTTTTGTTTCTAACTCATTTGTAACTGATGCTTAAACATATCAAAGATAGTTCTGCTTGGAACTCAGATGACATCTGTATGTTACTTTCTGATGGTGCAAGTGGGATTTAACATGGAGAACCTAGAGGCATGAACATTGATCGTGGGTTTTAGCCTGGCTTTCAATTATTGCTTGCCTCACATAAACTTCTAGCAAGGATGAACAAATTTTTTTTGTTGCGAGTATAAAGATCCGTGCCATTGATTAAAGAGAGGGTTAGGATATGTGTGCAAAGGGCAGAGTTGACACTTCTGTTGTGGAAGTTCTGGAACCTCCTTCATTTTACAGTCACTACGATGGGGGGCCATTCCTTTTCTTCCATGTAGGCTGCTGAGATCCCTGTAATAGTGTGCAGGCATTAATGCTGTTGGTCAATTCATAGGTCTTTATTTCTGGCCACAAGGTAATGGCACATCCCTGCCTCTTTCAAGTTAGGTGTCGACCATGTCACTTGCTTGGCCAATGATAGTGCAAGTGGAGATGAGGGAACTTTTGTGGGGAAGCATTTAATTGCTGATGTGAGAAACTCCAGTGCTCTTTCCCTTCACCCAGAATGGCCATCAGAACATTCTTCATCATCCTGGTAGGAGGATCATAAGCAAGAGAGCCCTCGTCCAGCTGGTGTGGCTCAGTGGTTGAGTGTCAACCCATGCACCAAGAGGTCACCGGTTCGATTCCCAGTCAGGGCACATGCCCAGGTTGTAGGCCAAATCCCCAGTAGGCCAAATCCCCAGTTGGGGGCATGCAGGAGGTGGCTAGTTGATGTTCTCTCTCATTGATGTTTCTATCTCTCCCTCTCTCTAAAATCAATAAACAAAAAAAAATTATTAAAAAAAAAAAAAAAAGCAAGAGAGCCCTGTCTTTCAAATATGGGTGGACAGGTAGTCTGAATTAAAAATTACTTTTCATTTTTATTTTGTGCTTAGACTATCATAACTTTTGTTATTATTACATAATACAGATATTTCAGTGAATTTTTCCCCTTAAAGGAACATCATCTCAGTTTAAAGCATTATTAACTTGGATAATATAAAAAAGTTCTGTGCTCTGTGATGTGAAAGAGATGGTTATTTTCTTAAAACATGGCTATGCCATGCATTCTTAGTCTCGACTGTAAGTAGCCTCTTTATGGGTCCTGAAGAGATGACATTTTGAGTAGAGTGCTTTTTAGATGGGTCAGCCATGGTATGTTAGCTTACATACTCATCTTCAAGTTGAATATGTGACTTGTTGAAGAGAGTCCTTTATTTTTATTTTTTGTTTGTTTTATTTTATTATTTTTTACAATTTATCTTTATTGTTGAAAGAATTACAGATTTTCCCCTTTGTTCCCCCATTGACTCCCTCCTCCCACCCCTCTTCCTACCATCCCCACACTATTGTTTGAGTCCATTGGTTATGCATCTAAGTTCTTTGGTTTATTTCTTCTGCAGCCCCAGTTCCCTCCGATGTTTGTCAGTCTAATAACTAATTTGTACTTCTTAATTCCTTCACCTTTTTCACTCATCCCCCCAATCACCCTCCCATCTGGCAACCATCAAAAAGTTCTTTGTGACTTGACAGTGGTGTCTAACGTGGGTCCTCCCACGCTCATCCAAACTCAGTAGAGGGAGCCACAAACAGCAGAACACCAACACCCACAGGGAAAATTTGGCAGGCTCCAAAATCCACTGAGATAGCGAAAATGGTGAAACAAAGAAACAAATCCCAAATGAAGATGAGATAAATGAAATACAAATTAACAGAGATAGAGTTTAGACCCATGACCTTGAGGAAGCTCAACAGCGTGAGTAAGGACATCAACACCATGAGTAAAGACATAGAAACATTGAAAATTAACCAATTGGAAATGAAAAACCACCAGAAGAAATGAAGAATTACATAGCAGAAATAAAGAACACATTGGAAGGACTCAACAGCAGACCAGAGGAAGCTGAGGACCAGATCAGCAAGGAAACAGAGATTGAAAACGAACCACTAGACCAAATGGATTTAATAATTATCTACAGAGAATTACACCCCAAAACGAGAGATTTCACATTCTTCTCAAGTGCACATGGGACATTCTCAAAGATAGACCACATGTTAGGATACAAACTAAGTCTCTACAAGTTCAAGAAGATTAAAATCATATCAAGCATCTTCTCAGATCACAATGGCATGCAACTAGAAATCAATTGCAACAAGAACATGCAAAGACATTTGAACACATGGAGGCTAAATAGCATGTTATTAAACAATGAATATGTTACTGAGGAGATCAAGGAAGAAATTAAAAACTTTCTAGAAACCAAAGAAAATGAACACGCTACAACACAAAATCTATGGGATGCAGCGAAAGCAGTTCTGAGCGCATTTGACAAAATCCAGCACCCATTTCTGATAAAAAAGCTGAGCAATGTACGAATAGAGGGATCATATCTTGATATAATAAAGGCCATATATGAAAGACGTACAGCCAACATCCTACTCAATGGGCAAAAACTAAAAGTATTTTCTTTAAAAACAGGAACAAGTCAGGGATGCCCACTTTTACCACTCTTATTTAACATAGTACTGGAAGTCTTAGCCACAGCAATCAGATATGAAGTAAAATAAAAGGGATCCAACTTGGAAAGGAGGAAGTGGAACTGTCCTTATTAGGAGATGACATGATATTATTCATAGAAAACCCCAAAGACTCCATCAAAAATCTACTAGACTTAATAAAAGAATTTGGAAAAGTAGCAGGATACAAAATTAACATCAAGAAATTGATGGCATTCTTATACATCAATGATGAACTCACAGAAAGAGAAACTGAAAAAACAATCTTATTTACCATCACGGCAAAAAATAAGATACCTAAGAATAAACTTAACCAAAGAAATAAAGGACCTATTTGCAGAAAACTACAGGACATTGAAAATTATATAGAGGAAGATATAAAAAAGTGGAAGCACATACCTTGTTGATGGATTGGAAGAATTAACATCATTAAAATGTCCTTATTACCCAAAGCGATCTATAGATTCAACGCAATCCCCATCAAAATACCAACGACATACTTCACAGAACTAGAACAAATACTTCAAAAGTTCATATGGAACCAAAAAAGACCCGAGGAGCCACAGCTCTTGAAGAACCAGGACAAAGTACGTAGGATCACATTACCGGATATCAGATTATACTACAAAGCTAATGTAATCAAAACAGCCTGCTACTGGCACAAGAACAGGCATATAGATCAGTGGAACGGAACAGAGAACCCGAAATGGACCCAAGACATTATGCTCAATTAATATTTGACAAAGGTGGCAACAGCATACAATGGAGTAAAGACAGCCTCTTTAATAAATGGTGTTGGGAATATTGGACAGCTATATGCAAAAAAATGAAACTAGACCATCAACTGCCACGATACACAGAATAAACTCAAAATGGATAAGAGACTTAAATGTGACCCGTGAATCCATAAAAATTTTATTCTTTTTTTTTTTTTTTAATATTTATTGTTGTATTACAGATGTTACTCATTTTCCCCCCATTTACTCCCTCCTCCCCTGTCCCGCCCCCCTCCCACCTTTTCCCATACTATTGTGTGTGTCCATTGGTTATGCATATAAGTTCTTTGGTTTATTTCTTTCCACCCCCCAACCCCTTTCCCTTTGAGGTTTGTCATTCTAGCAATGACTTTGTACTCCTTAATTCTTTCACTTTTTTCACCCATTCCCCCAACTTCCCTCCCATCTGGCAGCCAACAAAATGTTCTCTGTATCTATGAGAATGTTTCTGTTCTGCTTGTTCATTTTGTTTGTAGATTCCATTGTTGATAGATATGTATTCATTGCCATTTTTTTTGTTCGTATATTTATCTTTTTCTTCAAAAAGACCCTTCAACGTTTCATATAATAACGGTTTGGTGGTGATGAACTCCTTTAACTTTTTGTTGTCTGGGAAACTTTTTATATGGCCATCGATTCTAAATGACAGCTCTGCAGGATAGAGTAATCTTGGTTGTAGGTTCTTGCTTTCCATCACTCTGAATAGTTCTTGCCACTCCCTTCTGGCTTGCAAAGTTTCTTTTGAGAAATCAGCTGACAGCCTTATGGGAAGTCCCTTGTAGGTAACTAACTGCTTTTCTCTTGCTGCTTTTAAGATTCTCTCTTTGTCTTGAACCTTTTTCATTTTGATGATGATGTGTCTTGGTGTGGGCCTCTTGGGGTTCATCTTGTTTGGGACTCTCTGTGCTTCCTGGACTTGTATGTCTGTTTCCTTCACCAAGTTAGGAAAGTTTTCTGCCATGATTGTTTCAAACAGGTTTTCGATTTCTTGTTCTCTCTCTTCTCCTTCCGGCACGCCCAAGATGCAAATGTTGGCACGCTTGAGGTTGTCCCAGAGGCTC